CTTTTGTACATCCCATACTCCAACATCGCTAAACAAGCACATCCAGCCAGACCGATCATGAGCAGAATGAAAATGGTTTGGATACTATCGCTTAGCCTGACCGCTTGGAATGCCGCCGTTTCATAGCGAAATTTCCTCTTTTTAAGCTCCCTCTCTCGGAACAATGTCGAATTTAGAGAAACCTGATTAGAAACCCGGTTATAAATCCCTGCATCCAAAAACATTTTGAAGTATTGAACCATCCGTGATTCTCGCCAAACGTGAAAAGAAAATCCCACAGGTCGATCAAAGATCGTTTGCGCGCCCCGATACCATTTTTTGGCGGGATAATTTTTCTTTAAATACTCGTGGTATTCCTCGATCTCACCAGAAGGTCCGACATACGCAGATTTGTCACAGTGCAGCATTTCCTCCTCGATAATCATACTTACTTTTGTGGTACTCATATCATCCATAAATTCGATTTTTTCCGGATACCAGCGAATTCTTGGGTCCAGCATGGAATGCAGTAAGCGCTGCAAATTTAGTGGAAATTCGAACGCCGTATAATAGTAACTCGGGTCGAGGAATTCATAAAATTTATAATTTCCAAGGTTATATTTTCCCTTAAAAGTGGGTACGAATTGAGACAAAATGGTGTAACAAAATCCTGGGATAGAAGCGCTAAAATTTGCGCCCTCTCTGAATCGTCTAGAATTGAATCTATCCATTCTCATTCTAGGATTTATCTCGAAGTTGGGGTCATCCTGGCAAAAAATTTGTTCAAACGTATCCACTTTTTCTCCAGGAATTGGCGAGTTCAAATTCGTAATGAAAATACTCAAATAACAAGAACTTAACAGCATAGCTATCAAGAGCCAAGGAATACTTAAGAACCGGAAGGGAGCGAAATTTCTTAATTTTTTTGGGACGGTGCTCACTTCGTCGATAAAGAGACCGAAAAAGTATAAGAAAAGTTTTAACGGGTAGAATTTAGCGTGCAGAAAGTAAAACCCGAGACAGACGAGGGAAGCAGATAAGGAAAGTTGGATAACTGTGAAGATCCACACGAGGGGATCGAAGGGTGCTAAATATAAGGAAAACGTCATCCCACTTGAAACCATGTAGCAAGAGATGAAAGATAACCCGGGAAATGTTGTGATTAAAGTTTGATCATGAAATCCAGAATAGATGGGACCTTCAAGAACAATCGACGGGTAGTTACAAGATACAGAACCGCAATCGAAGGGTCCGGTGTGCCTTGTTGCGTTAAGCTTTTTCAGTGCTGTAGTAATTAAAATTTCTGAGAGTTCAGCATTCTTCGCTTTACCAGTGAAATCGAGCCAATTACGTTCCACGAGTGACGGGTGGTTCGATGGATCGACTTGTTCACTTGAAAAGGTAGAAGTACAAGCAAAATTTTGTAGGATTGGGGCACTCCCTATGTCTGTTTGGTGGCATAATTTCACCACATTTTCATTGAATCGGAATAAAACTGCAAATTTTACTGGTAGTTTAAACGCAAAATAGAAAGGCTTCAAGTAAAAATATGATTTATCATACACGATATTTGTGGGTCTAGGAATTAGTAGAAAGTACAAATTATCCGGATAAATTTTCAGATTGATTTTCTTATATAACGTTAAATAATGATTGCTCTGGGCTATTGTCCAATATCCTATTGCCTTTGCGTGCAGGGTAGTAAAATTTGGCGAATTTATAGTGATAAATAATATAACAATTTCGCAAACCCATCCTTTATTTTGCAGGATATCAAGTTCTGACGAGGCTTCGGATAGAATGTAGAGATATGGGCTTAAATTGGTGGAAAAGTCACGTTTGGTAAGTGTAAGAGGGACATCACGGGTAGTTGGTAAGTCCGAGGTGGAAATATTGTTGAAGACGAGATGATATCGACAAGTAGCGTGCGGCGTTATAACAGATGTTAATTTTATACCAGATAATGCTACCGTGGGTTCGATTAAGCTTGAATTTACGGTGAAGCACAGTAAAATTAAATAGAAGAAATTCGAATTGGTCATTATTCACGGGTAGAATGTTTTTTTGGGGGTAGATTGTAGTAAAAATTGTTTTGTGAAAGTTTGAATATTTGAGAGAATTTGGAATAGTAGAAAGGGAGGATTCTGTTCAGCAGAGAAGTGTAGAAATATTAGTAGCAAATATTCTTGTTGTGATACCTGGACATATTGAGGATGCAATATTGAGTGGATACGTGCATAATTGGATTCCTTTAATAATAGGTTTTTATCTAGTTAATAAGTTTTCCCAAGAAACAGGTTCAGCTGACACAAAATTCAGGAAATGGTCAAATATCGGGTTTCATAATTTAATGGTGCAGAACCGGAAGCGTACGAAAAATTGCTTTCATACGAACAGCATTTAATTTACTGGGCCAAGCCCTAAAATACCCATCGTAAAATGCACTGACATATTTAAATGCTATTAGCAATAGTCCGACATATGAAAATAAACGAAGGACTCTATGACTCATCACCAAACTTGCCAAAATCAACACATTTAATTTTTTCTGGGTGCTGGGCATTTATTTTAAAATTCTGGATGACGAATTTGCCGTCAGTAAGTTGATAGAGAATGACAATGACCTATCCTACAATTTGTCATCCGGAATTTTAAAATAAATCCCACAAGCGAGAAATGGCTAAGCGTGAGCTCATTTTGACGATTTTGACGATGAGTCATCGAGTCCTATACATACGTAAACAACTCGGTAAAAGATGCTTGTCAGTTGGGATGGATAGGCGTAAGTAATTTAAACATGTCGATTGGTACGCAACTTCATTACATTTTTAATCCTTATGCCACGATCATATCTATTCCTTATTCTGATGATAATGTAAATATACATACATGTACCCTCAATCCGCATAAATTCCGACTGCTTACACTGTTAGAAATCTGGTATAGTCAGGCAGATACTGATTTCTCGGTGTTGAAGTTACTTCCAAATAACCTGTTACTAAAATAATATCTGTCGGTAAAAATTTGCTACGGATACGGTCAAACTTTAATACCGAACTATTTACCACACGTTATTACTTATCAATACCATTTTAGTAGAGCCATACATATATACATATATTTATACCACTTGGTATTTTAATTTTGGATTTTTACGAGGGCACAATTAGATAGTAACCTGTGTTTGGTTTTAATGGGTTTTATTAAGTTTTACTCATACAGTTAAATAGTAATATAAAGAGTTTATTAGATCTTAATATCGTATATCATAATTTAAGTTCGTGTTATACACTAAAATGTATGTTTTTCTTTATTCATAAGTATGTATTTATGTATAACAAGATTAATCCAGCATAAATATGTACATCTTAGCACTTCTAAAAATGTAGTACTTTTATATGAAAAATGTGCATATACGTAAGTAAATATGTCTCAACAATATGTATAAATATCTATAAAATCTGCATATACATATGAATAAATAAACTATGGGAATGAAATTATGTATGTACATATCTTGCACGATGTGTTAGAAGAAATTCTTAAAATAATGTTGCCTTCTTGGAAAGTACATAAACGCATCCTCAATTCCATATTTAGGAAACTACAGTAAATCCCGAGTAACCTTTGCAATTTATAAAATTTACATTACTTAGAATTTAGTATAGTTTCCTTAATGTAGAATTGAGGGTGCATTTCATTTTAAAGGGGTAAATTATTTTTAAGTATGCATGAGTCCTTTACTGGGCCGACCTTAACAGAATGCACCCCAGATTTTTAATCCGATCGACTATTGTGAGCATTAAGGACGATGTTATTTCAGAAATATATGCGTGTAACCTAACCCTTTTATAGAACCGGGCGGTGACACAGGCAGACCAGACCCAATCACCGTTCACATTGGTGACAGATGTACAACCCTTCTATGAACCCTTAAATTTTCCAATATTGCAAATGCCCTAAAAATACATTGACATTTCCCAGAATTAGAGAGCTTTTTTTACAACGCTTTGCATATTTATTTTACAACTAACAGTGTTTGAAGATCAGTTTCGATTCTGATTTCTTCAAGCATACACCAAATCTAAGTCCTGCCATCAATCAGAATTATTCCAAGTTTTTTCAAAATAATTTACATATTTCGAAGTCATAATTATTCAGCACAATATTTAAACAGTTAACTTTGATCTGAAATTTAATCCGTTATTAAGTACATAAATTTCGCCTATCACCTTCCACGAGCAGGTAAAATTTGAATTTCGTCTCTAGTATTAAAATTTTTACTTGTGAAAATAAAAAAACATACTTCTTATAGTAAATACATAGATATTTTTATGGATCCAATTTTTAATTCTACATCTTCATGTAGTCAAGTTCAATAATTATATATTGCAGAAACTCACATAGTCTTTGTAAACTTGCAAAATCCGTAACTTTTGTAAAATAAATAATTACAAATAAACGCCCTTGATCTGAGGAGTAGAAGGTCACTACTTGTCGGGCCCCGATTTCGATCTCCTTTGGATATGTTGTAGTACTACATGAGTGTAGAAAAAGTGAAGGAGGGTTAGACTCCATGAGCCCATTTACGCCCGCCACACCCCCTCAAAGGCGCCCAAACCCCCAGAGTTGCCGCACTAAAATCATCGCCAAAAATCGAGTTTTGGTCAGATTTTCAAGAAATTTACATTTTTGTGATCCCAGATAGTTGCTCTATCATATCCAATAGCAAACTCAATTTTTTTGAAATTTCGAATTTTTTCAATACATACCCTTGGTCAGAAAATCTTCGACAATATTGACCTTCTACTCCTGAGTAAGTTTACAAAAATTTGTAAGCTAATTTTCCTTAATTTTCCAAAATTTTGATAAATTTTATAAGTTTACGAATTTGTGGGTTTTACATTGTTACCAAGGCCTGCGTGAATTGTCTCATTATTTTTAACGACGCCTTTTACATGATTTTTCACCACGAAATTAATTTTATTGATGAATCCTTATAGATTTCAATGGCTAGAACGATGAACTATAATGCTGACATCGAAGCGGATGATGAGCTGAGCAGCACTTCTTCCGATGAAGAGCACAGCTTGAGAGACGAAATTCCAGCAAATGCAGTGGCGTCGAAACCATTCCTCGTCATTGCACAAGGATCTCGCCAGGAAATGCAGAACTTGGCTGACGATCTGCAACGTAAGTTAGCAAATTGAGCGTATAAAACTTAACTAATTAGAATTTAGTGAATTGACTTGACCACCTTCATGTAACTATTGAAACTTAGAAATATTGCTTTAATTTCTGAATCTGTTCGGTGGAAAATTAATTTCGAAATATTTCTATTACGTATGCACTTGTTACGAAATTTTCGAAATTATTTTGTATGCATCCGCTCGCATATATTTGCATCCTAACGGGAGAAAATGCACTCTAAAGTCGACAAATTTACACTTTCCAAATTTACTGTGCATTTTCTTCTTTTCGGATGCAAATATTTCTGTCAAAAGTTATCATTTGCAGATCGTGTCTTTAATATATTAATTAAATTTGTGATCGATTTACACAAATTTTTCAAAAAATCTGAGAGCATATTTACGCAAATAAAATGTGTGCATGTATGTAGCTTGATATGCATAATTATTTTGTACCATCTCAAATTTTTAGCCTACTTATTAACCGCATCATAATTACAAAAATATGTAATTGACCTTCTCATAATTGACTTGATTCTCATAAATTCAGGCATCGTCGTGAACATGATGGTTCAAATTGCCAACCTACCCTGGAACCATGACCGACCATTGGAGCAGCTGAACCACATCCCGTTCCAAGAAGACGTCCCCCCCGACGACGAAAGCGAGGGGTACGTCAGTGCCAGCAACAGCGAGGACTATTATGAAGGGTGCAGCACGTGCTTCTCAGAGTCGGAGTCGGAATCGGGGGACTGATGACGTACTTCCAATTGCCGCCTTCCCTCGAAGGATTCATGACTGGATAAAGTTCCCTTGGATCGAAATCATCACGGAAAAATGACAAAAAAATTACTGCAAATTTCTACAGTTAAAATTTTCGCAATGAATTAATCGTGGAATTTCACAGTTCAAAATTTTGTATCGTCCAGTTTTTAACACGGAATGTGTAACTATTGACAAACTTCAATCTCAACGAAATGTGCTCTCTTTGACCAAATTATTGAATAAATTCGAATCAAATGGCATCATCAAACCGTTCTCAATTTGTTAAAAGCTATCTCTTGTATACTTTTACTTTAATTATTTTCCTTACATTTAAAAAATCTCTCCTTCCAGACTGGTTTGCATGCAAATTTCCATGTTTTCTGTTAATTATAACAGGTGTAAAATATTTTGTAAAAGGCTACTTTTCAAGGAAAGTTAGTCCTTTTCAATTTCTATTTGCATGATTTTACTATGTATATGTACATGGCGCATACTTACAATAGGCTCTGCCTATTTTGCAGAGCATGAAAATTTTTCACATTCTTCAACATATTTAGATTGGAACATGCACATTCATGACAAGATAGTTAGAATAATGGCGAACACCTTTCACATCTACACGTGCATACGTTAAAGTTATGCATAAAATAAGAACCAATATAACATGTACACAAATATGCAGATACATATATTTGCATATGTGTAAGTGCTTATAATATATATGCGCATCTTTTATCGGTCCACCATACGTATTATAGGTAGACTAATTTTAAGTGGCATATATGCATGTGTATACATACATAGATCAGTATATAAGACTCATTCATTGAGGTGTTTGTTCTGACCATTTAATTATTTAGGGGTCAGCTTGAGCTCACCCCACTCTTTCGATTGCATTATGTATATATATATATATATATGAGTGTATTTAATTAACCATATTATTTATGCATCTCATGCTTATATGTGACTACAAAGTGAAACTTTTAAATAATATCAGTATTTCCAGCTTATGTATATATAGATACCTGACTGTCTGTAAAAAGTACCGTTACACGAGTATATATTTATGTATCAATTGTGCTGTATGTTTGCTGCATGCATGAAAATTTAAACGCCTTACTAGAAATATATCTCAAAAATTTTACTCAAATTTCTAACTCTTTGGTGTACCAAACTTCAAAAATTTCTTGATAAAAATGGCTGTTTTTTATTTAAGCGGTGACTAAATGTTTATGTATGCTTGTTGCAATTTTTTTATGGAATATAAATATACATATCTGTAATCACTTCACCCCAAAGTATTCTCTGCAAGTTAAAAGACAAGAGTCGTTGACACTTTGTATTTCTTCCACAAAGAAATGCTGACATCGAGTGTTCCATATTATGCAAAAACATGCCACGCTTTTAACCCATGTTTTTAGCAAATAATGCTTTCATTCTGTACAAATTTTGAATTTGTTCATTAAGCAAATGTCGATGAACTGTTTGCATCCGCATGCATTTGCACTTCTTATTCTGACCAATTCCCAATAAATGAATCTTTCATGCATTTTCCGCAAATGCATACACTTTTAGCTCGAGATTTGCATAAGCGAGGTGCTTATTGAGCAAATCAGTGTCACCATTTCTGACAGGGGGACACAGTCCGATCAATTCATAAATGCAAATTAATGCGTTGGAATCATGTGCACAATGTAATGAATTATTTAAATGGATATAAATACGAGGCGCAGAGTAGTTCGTTGTCACCATTCTTTAATTGGAGATTCACTTTTGAGTAATTAAACCCACCAATATAAATATTTACATATCTTCGAGGAATTAAAGGTCTCGGAAATATGGGAGTTTCTGGGGGGTTAATTGTGCCCCTGGTTTTACTAGGTAAGGTCTATTTTTCGTACTTTTTTAAATTTAATTTATTTCTACAAAATTCCAAAGTTAGGAATAATTCACGCAATTCACCCAGTCTTTGATAACTTTGTAAAATCTCTAAGCTTTGTAAAATAGTTTTACAACTTTTTATAAATTTTTGTACAAGTTTAATAATTTTAAATAATTGGTGAATTTTGCAATGTTACCACGGACTGCGTTAAGTGGCTCATTAAAATATCAAGAGTTTTGCTGAATATCAATCGTTTTTAGTTTAATTTTATGCTTTGATTGCTCGATTATAAATTTTTATTTTATTGTTATTTAGCAAATCAATTAAAGTGTTGTCCAATTAATTGGAAAGAGTAATTTATCTCGTATTCATTTCAGTTTTCGCCAGCCATGGAGTCACTGCAGGTCGCAGCAACATGTTCAATATGGGAACGACTTATGTCTTCTCGGCGTCTGGAAGACTCCAACTTCCCGAGTTTCTCGTGGCACCGATCTCATTTTCGTACCAAGTCGAAGTTACTGTCACTGGCCCGAGACAGCTTACAATGAAGGTAAATATTTTGATATTTATTTCTTAAATGCAGATAGTTTTTTCTTAAACGAAGAAATGAAATTTTGTAGCAAATGCAAAATAAGGAACTGCGTATGGCAGAACAATTTATTTAAACAATCTCACATTTTCCGATTTTAAACCAATTATTCAAGGATTTAACCAACATTTTATTTGTGCATCTTAAGCTCGTTTTTTAAATTGTTCCAAAATTATATCGCAAGAATTTTGCATTGGAAGATGCAATTCGTTCGTTCATTTTTTGTAGCGAATAAAAGTCACTACTAACTTGTAGGGATTTACATTTTAATATATATTTAACGTAAAATTTTATGATTCAATTTCAACTAAATATAAAGTCATCTAATGGTCAAAATTATTTATTAAATTCTTTTTACGACTGCTCTTTCAAAAAATACGGATTCATTTTTGTCCATTTCTTTGTGAAAAAAATTCAAATTTTGATCTTGTACGACATTTCCTTAATCATAGCGTAAATATTTTGAAATATTTAAAAGTTCAAAAAAGCGTTGCACAAAAAAGCGTTGTTAAAAAGTATATATGTAGGTACCTACATATATACTTTTTAACACGTATTGAATATCCCACTGAAGTATTTTGCATGAAACCCAAGAGGAATAATTTACATACAAACTATTTCGCACCGAACCACATAGATTTCAAGTGTCCTCTTGTTTACTATTCTTATTTTTCAACTTCCTTAACCTGATTAGAAAATATGCTAACCACTTGCATCCTTTTACACCATTTTAGACCACCAACTTTGCCTTAACTCCTCTCACGGTTCCCGATTCCATCCGGACTCACCTGGAATCATCCGTAACGGTCGACCTGAACGAGGACGGAACGATTGAGAATGTTCAGTCCCCCACGACTCTGCCTGAGTGGGCCCTTAACATTAAGCAAGACCAAGTTTACCGTCTCGTCTTCTCAGCTGGCTCGCTAAACGATGGAGAGGACACTGGGAGACGAGGTGGTCGTATCAATTTCAACGAGGTACGACCAAGGACTCCAACTTTTGATGCTAGCACTACCTACAACGGGGACTGGGATAAAGTGGAAAAGTCCTTGCTGGGGGAATGTGAGACAAGTTACAGTCTCCGAAAGATTTTGAAACCTTTGGAAATGCGAGAATCGTCCACTTCCTCCTCTTCCAGTGAAAGCAGTGAAAGTGATGAAAATGGAGTGACTAAAGAATACGGACAAATGGTATGAATTTCTGATGAATTTAACGTTTAGATTGAAATGGACAATATTAAATGTTACTGGGGGAATTCACGCAGTCCTTGGTAACTTCGTAAAACCCGTGAAGTTCTAAAACTTGTAAACTTTTATTCAATTTTAAAAATATTTCTAACGAAAATTAGTTCAAAAATGTTTGTAAACTTACTTATCTTCAGATCAGAGGTTGTTTTTGATTGCGTAAAGGTTTGTCAAGTGATTTCACAAAATTTACGGATTTTACAAAGTTACAAACGACTGCGTGAATTGCCTCATTTTAATGGACCATATTAAATTCATAAATTTATTTCCCAGCTGTTCCGGTTTTGCTCGCAACCTGGCACAAATTTTTATAGATTGAAGAAAACTACGACATCCCAAGATTGCACGGGGGCTGGAGAGGGCGACATTTTAAATACTACGGTAAATACGCAAATTCCAGTAACTTTTTGACTACTTGAATAATTGAAGCATTTCAAATAACCCCGTATTTTTCATTACTTTTCCTCAAAAGATTGCCACTTTCGAGACCGAGTACACATTTTGCGCCCGGGATTTAACCCGCCCAGAGGATATCACCATTCTAAAAGTCCGCGGAACCGGAAAGGCTGATTCTGTCGGAAACTATGAAGAAGATTTTATTCTAATTAAAACAACCAGCTCCTTCCCTTCACCTCCTTCCGCACGAAATCTACTAAATCAAATCAGCATGACCAGACACGATCCCACTTTCGCCTTTGCCGCCAATTCCGAGCGCCGACTAAGATTCGGTTTCGGTTGGATAAGCCATGCCCGACAAGCCATTCGTAACTCGGTCGACTCCTTTCTGAAACACCTCGGCCTTCGGAAGGACGATATCTCCGGAAATACTCGCCTCGACGCAAGAATTCCGGCCTTTCGCGCCTGCGCAGAAAAGAAGGGCCTCCCATCCTCCCGCCTTATCGACCCGGTTACAAACTCGAGCGGCTATGACGCCCTAAACTTCCAGTGGAACATCAAATTCAAAAAGGTCTACCCGATCGCCTTCCTCCTCCCCGTGACGGCGCGGCACGTTCAAATCGCGGTTCAATGCGGCGTCATTGCAAAAATCCGACTCGTCCCGAACAGCGGGGGACATTCGTACGATTCCATTTCCTGGGGGGATAACACCACCCTGGTCATCGATTTTCAAGAGATGAACAAAGTTGAGCTGACCGGCGCGGGAAAACCGGGCGCTATCGCGGTCCTCCAACCCGGCGCGCTGCTTGGACCCACGGTCGCACAGCTATGGCAACTCGGCAAAGTGGGCCTTCCCGTCGGAAACTGTTTGACGGTGGGCGTCGGTGGGCACGCGCTGGGTGGCGGGGTCGGACTTTTCGCCATGGTGCATGGACTCCTGATCGACAACGTAGTCGAGTACGAGATGGTGGATGCCGCCGGAGATATCGTGGTGGCGAGTGAGGTTGAAAATCCGGACCTGTTTTGGTCCTTGCGCGGTATCGGGCCGGGTTTTATCGGGATTATTACGAGATATGAGATTAGGACTTTTCAAGCGGATCGGATGAAGTTTACCATTGTAAAGTTGAACTACCCGGTTAAGGATTTTCTCCCGGTGGCGACGGCTACACAAGATTTTATTGCTTGGACGAAGGTGAATGATCCGATGATTGGAACGATGGCGATGGCGTATAGCGGTAAGAGTCAAATTAACTATTGCATTTTTAAGATTAAATCGTGGTAGTAACCACGGGTAACTTGAAAAAACCATTTCCCGTCTCTTTAGTTCATAGGGCAGGTAGGTAGATGGCGGAAATTTTCTAGCACATTTTTGCAATTTCTTGCAGTTTCTTGCTTTGCAGTGCAAGAAATGTAGCAAGACATGAAACGCTTAATTACATTTTATAATTAGTATAGCTAATTACTAATTAAATCACACCTTTTTTCCATTCCCAGACGACTGGAACGCCACCAACTCCGTCACTCCGGGCGGTTCTGAACCCGGCATAGTCATCAGCTTCATCCACATTTTTGACCCCGACCGAAATCCCTCCAGCAATGCAACCTTTCTCAAAAAAATCGAAGAAATGTTTCCCCCCGCCAAGACAAAGGCTGTCTTCCTCCCAAACTATTTAGAACTCCACTTCGCCACCAGCTACTCCCCCGTCATTCTTCCCAAACCAAAACTATCCGAAATTGCCCCACTCCGAGCAGGATCTCCCTTCCCCCCAGAGCCCGCCATTCTCGGCCTTTTCATGAAGATGACCAAAGCCATCGCAATCCCACGCTACTTCAAGGCCAAATCCCACTACGTCTCGCGAAAACTGACTTCCACCGAACTCCAACGCTTAGCCCGACTAATGCCCTCCATCCCCGCGAACCGAGCCGGCCTCATGGTCACCTCGGAAATCGGGGCCATCCACAAAATCCCGGTTAACGGCACAGCCTACTCGCACCGAACGATGACCGTCAATTTCCGCGTGCACATCGAAGCCCGTCCCGAAGATGGCGACATTGGGGAAGCGGAACGCTGGATGGATCAATTCTGGCCGGCCATGCAGTCCTTCGATAGTGGCGAAACGTACCAAAACTACCCCGACTTAGAAGTCAAGGATTATCTGAAGCGGTACTACACCACAAATTTGGACAGGATCATATCCTTCAAGAGGAAATGGGATCCCACCAATTACTTCAAGAATGACCAAAGTCTTCCGATCTGTTTAGAAGATGAAATCATTAAACCGATCCAATTCGCTAAATTCCGCTCCTGCATGAAACTGTCGAACGTTCCGCCAAGACAGCTGGTCGATCCCGCCTCAAACTCGAGTGGGTACGACATCCTTAATCTTCAATGGAACACCCGAATCGAAAAAGTCTACCCGGTCGCATACCTCGTCCCGCTGATCAAGGACCATGTCATGGCCGCGGTACGTTGCGGCGTTGCGGCGAATATCCACCTGATCCCGAGCAGTGGGGGACACTCGTACGAAGCGATTTCCTACGGGACAAATACCACGATTGTGATCGACTTTAGAGAAATGACGAATGTGGCTTTGTTACAAGAAAGGGTGGGAAATGATAGGATCGCGGTCATCCAACCGGGTGCGTTGGTTGGGCCGATTAACGCGCAGCTGTGGACGCTTGGAGGGGTCGCGATTCCGATGGGAAATTGTTTAACGGTGGGAATCGGGGGGCACGCGGTGGGGGGAGGAATCGGGTTCTTTTCGGCCATGTATGGACTCACGATTGATCGGGTGGTCGAATATGAGCTGGTCGATGCAACCGGGGAAATCGTCATTGCTTCAGAGAAGCAGAATCCGGAAGTGTTTTGGGCCCTTCGAGGAGCGGCTGCGGGATATATCGGAATTGTGACACAGATTAAGATTAGGACTTTCAAAGCGGATAAGATTCAGATTACGGCGGTGAAAATTGTTTATCCGATTAAAGACTTTGTCAAGGCCGGGACTGCTATGCAAAATTGGATGGAATGGACGAAGAATAATGATCCTACCATTTTTACGACGGCTTCAATTACGAATGGTATGTGAATATGTGAATATTTATCACATTTTGATATTAGAGAGAGTGTGCGAGGGGATTTTTTTCCGATTGTGATTGTAATGTTTATTGCACATATACCATCAATGATCCATCTACAGTCAAAATTAGAACCAAAATCATAAAATTACTCCTGCTTAACCTATGTATCGATTAACAGAATTGGCGAAGTATTGTAAAAAAAATATTTGTGAGGTTGCGCCTCCTTCATTAATTTTTTGTGATTGTGATTATAAATAATTTTTACTTTAAATATATTGTAAGTAAATGATCCAGCTACAATCCACAATCACAAAAAATCACTCCTCCTGAACCTCCCTATTATCTATTTAAACCCTCCAATTAATCTACATTTACTTCTCAGACGACTGGAGTTCCAACTACCCCGCCACGGCGCAAGGTCCCATCGGAGGCGTTATTATCTCAACCCTGCACATTTTCGACCCTGACCTCAACCCCCACGGAAATGAGACCTTCCTCGCCAAAATTAATGAAATCTTCCCACCCGGTCATCGCATCAAGGATGTCAGCGTCCTTCCCTACATCGCCTTTGTCTACGGTTCCGGGTACGCTCCAATCAGAATGACGGTCACCGTTGAAAAGAAAAGCCCCCCCTCCATCCTGTCCCCCCTCAGAAATCTTCACCTTGTTAAGAAGATTGTCGAAATTGGTCGCTTGGACGATCCCATCCTTGATCGAACCGTTCAATTCAAATGGAACAACCCAATCCCGCCTCCGACCCCGATTGGATTCACGCCGTCCCCATTGAACGGAATTTTAGGCAAATTACTCTCAATGCGAAAGGAAATGGCGATGCCGCGACATTTCCATGCGAAATCGCACTTCGTCAAGAGAAAGTTAACAATGGAAGAGATTTCCAGATTGGGACAGGTTTTGCTCCGAATTCCGAATAATAGATGTTGGATCCTAGTCAGCTCGGAGGGTGGCGCGGTGAAACACTTTGAAGACACTGCGATGGCCTATGTCCACAGGGACGCACTTTTTGATGTCAGCGTCCACGTGGAGGCGACCGAGACGGAGGGAGACGTTGGTGAGGCGGAGGACTGGCTGAGAGAGTTTTGGGATGCGATGCAATCTTTCGATGGGGCACAGACGTATCAGAATTACCCGGATTTGGAACTGGTGGACTTTTTGAAGAGGTAATTTTTGAAACAAGTCAAAAGTACGAATCTAATATGTCCTGAAAAATGTAAATAAATGAGGGGACTTGCCCTTTGAATGTGGCGAATCACGAGATTTTTTTAAAATTTAAGCAGTCCTTTGCAACTCGTAAAACCCGGAAGGTTTATGAAATAATTTCACAAATTTTACAAAATGAAAATAGGTCCTTCATCTGAGCTTTTCAAAAATGCATAAAACTTTACGAAACACAAATTTACTAAAATTTGTAAACTAATCAAGCCTAGAGTCACGAGTTCAAGAATTTTAAAAGGTTAATTGCTTGTGTGAATTCAGCAATAAAGGGTGATACACACAACTTAAAATTCTAAGCGTGTACACACTGTTATTTGTAAAATTTAAAAATTTGAATGTTACAATATTATTAAAACTATAATTCTTTGTTTCTAATTTTTTTAGGTATTACGGAAAAAATCTGCCCAGGTTGGTTGCCGTCAAGAGGAAGTTGGATCCCCAGAATTATTTCCGGAATCAGATTTCTTTGCCTACCTCCCTTCTTAATTAAATATATTTCCCCATTTTAAATTGCATTCGACATAGCCACTTAAATTACCGGTGTAAAAAAATTAGCAAAATTTGAAACTTACCCAACTGATTTGATGTAAATTGCAAAACTGATTTGACGAAGTAAAATAATATTTATTGGTGTTTTTGTTTATTTGCTTTATGATGAATAAAATCAGTAACAAACTTCAAAGAATGAAGATGTGGAAGTTTTTAAAGTGCGACGTTTAAAGTTGTTGATTCAAAGAGTGTAACAAAATATGTACAACAAATGGAGAGTAAAATATGCAAATAACATAACCGTGCATCGGTGCATCAATCATACTAATGGATAGTAAATGGAAGTGGAACAATATTTTGTTTCTAGATGATGTTCAATGATTCAAAAACTCATTATGAAGGCCCCTTAGAGGAAAGCTTACGCAAGTCATAATTTATGACTGATAAATATGATGCCCAGAAGTTTTAAGGATCCATAAATCATTTGATCAGCGTAACTTGGAGTATTTATATATTTACATGAACAAAAACTTCATCACAAATGGCTTATGTTTAACAGTGGAAACTTTAAAATTTTAAAGGTTACAAATATTTAGATATTTACAAGCACGACCAAGTTATAAATAGGAACTGTCTTTTGTTCATTGATTAATTTGAATATTTGCTAACTGAATGTTTACTAATTATTTAACATGAATATTTGTTAATGTTGACTAATCTGAATATCTTCTAACTGTTTAAATAAATTGATTATTTGATAATTGACTAACTTGAATATTTCCTAATTGATTAGTTTGAAGATGTACTAATTACTAAAATTGAATATTTGTTGATTAAGAATTACTTTAAATAAAGTCGAGCCACTGGATAGTACGATATCTTGAAAGAGAATTTTCCGTGTCCGACTTTTGTATGGAAAACAGCAAAACTTCATGCATAGCTTCACACCCTTCTCCGATCAAATCCGGTCGAAACAGGGCTTCGGGAAACGAGCTTGACCAATCTGTCGACAAAATAGACATTCGTTGCAATTCCTTATTACTAAATATGTATATCACAATATTGTCCTCACATCGAGCTGAGTACCGTCTGGCAGCTTGTAAATTCGTTTATCCGCATCCGGGTCAGAATAGATAAGTAACACTCTCGCTCCTTAATCGTTCGTGCAATTTCGAACTCTGACGACGTCCGAAAATTGATTCCTTCCTTGCGTAGAAGAAATCTGAAGAGCAAAACATATGAACAAAATATAAGTTATCTGATATAGCAATTCTGTAGGAATACTGAGGCCCTAGTCTGAGGGCCTGCATTACATATGTAAGTATACTTTTTTAATTAACATATGTTAGGTATATGTATGCCTACGTAGATATGTATATGTAATTAGTTATGAATCTGTACATCACTCCAGCTTTAACTCTCTTCCAATAAATACTCTCCTCTGTCTCCTCTCACTGTGTACCACTTATTTATGTATAATCATGTATACATAACATTGGTGGACCGTCGAGTACTTTCTTTCGCTCCTCCCACTCACAATGGATTTTAAAATTTTCAAAATTCTTCGCAAGACATATCACCTACCAAATTTGCTACGACTGCGACGACTAAGCAGCTTGACCACCGCCCCTTAGAGCTTGTCATTTTGCTTCCGATAGGGAAACTTCCCAAATCTCTCTTCTCAAAACCTTGCGTAAACTGTGTGATTTTCCTGTGAAACTTTTTTTGTGAATTTTCGTCATCTGGTCTGTAAATTGGATTATCCTCCCGGATGCTATCAGGTCTGTAAATTGGTTCTAAACCACCCTGAAAATATTCCCCCATTCTTAAAATTTCCAAATCTCCAGTCCAAAATTTACATTTCATAATTCGAGCAAATATGCTAAATTCAAAATTCCGTTATTTGTTTTAAACACGTCAAAAAAAATATATGCAAAATTGTCCTTCCAAATTGTTAAAAAATCGTAAAAATATTGTTAAAAAATTCCATTTAATTTCTGAAAAATTTTCATCAAAATTCGTTCAAAATTTGCAAAACTTCTGCAAAATATATGCAAAAAACTCATTTTTATTCATTTCGTCTGGAAAAGTGTCCCAATTTTTTATCAAATGTTGTTGCAAAAATGTAATCACTCCAGCTTTAACTCTCTTCCAATAAATACTCTCCTCTGTCTCCTCTCACTGTGTACCACTTATTTATGTATAATCATATATACATAACACATATCTTCAAACTCTGGTTTAAATGATCAAAATCAATACATCAAAACTATATCAAAACCTTGTCAACCATTCTTACTATTTCAAATCTGACGATGTTCTATGTATTCATTCCTTACGTAAAATTGTAGCAAAATTAACGAATACAATATATCAAAAACAGGGTATTCCGACCTGGGTTTTAATGGGCTGGGTTTTATTGGGTTTTAATGGGTTTTAATGGGTTGTAAATGAATAAAACCCACTGGGTTTTACCATGTTAAGTGGGTTTTATTTGGGTTTTAATGGGCTTTATTGGGTTTTACCATAAAACTACATTTTAAAAGTTAAATACATCTCCTATACGTTAGAAGACGTTATCTCAATTGATTCTAAAGCAGTTTATTTTATTACTATTCTAATATATGAAAATTCGGAACAAATCAACAATTAGCATCACATCAAGTGTTATAAAACAAAAATAATTTCCGAATAGATACAAATTCCGAATTATTTTTGTTAACTTATTACTTAAAACTAATAAAACCCAATAAAACCCATTTAAACCCAACAAAACCCAAATAAAACCCAATCAACATGATAAAACACATTAAAACCCATGGGTTTTATAATTTTTGATTAAAACCCTGGGTTTTTCCGAACCCTGATCAAAACCTTGTCAATACGAGATAAACCAACCTCAGATATCTCGTCACATCTCGCCCAGCTAAATCCACCCTCATGATGCTGTGTGGCAGGGCGAAACCTTCGTAAATAGGCACTGCATGGGTCACACCATCCCCCGCGTCCAGCACCACGCCCGTCGTCCTCCCAGTTGCATATCTACCAAGAACAATTATATTATTAATTGCGGGAGGAAACCAAATTGTTAAATGATAGTTAAATTAAATGATTAATCAAATGATGATCACTCAAAATGAAGGTGGCCCATCGTATACTCTCTGACTTTGAGCAAAACAGTGTGAATCAATCGTAAATTTGATTAATTCTAAATTTTCAAAGTTCACATTGATTAAACTTATGATTGATTATTCCTCAAAATCTATGACATGTTGCGAGACCTCAATTATCAATTCGTAAAGAAATTAGTTAACAATTTTTACTTAGAAGTAAAGAACTGCCTGCATCGACAACAAAGCTGGAGCGTTTCAAAAAATATCTCGGCCGACTTCTCCGTTCCCGTGCGGATTGAGGGTCGCTTCCGTGAGGAGGACGGGGTGCTGGTAGCAAATGAATCATAATTATGACCAATTTATGTTTCTCTTGTTCTCTTTACCTCTTCAGCAAAGTTTGCAGCTGATCTTTGCTATACACGTATTGCCAAATCCTCTCCATATCGTTCAAATACGTGACGATGCTATTTTCCATCGGGTACTTGATGACCAACAGGCCCCTGTGCTCTTCCGCCTCGTAACCGATGAAAAGGTCACCCTCCAAAGCTCCGGCCATCACTCGAACGTGCTTTGGCCGGCCCACACTGCACAAAAAATGTTCAAACCTTCACAATCTGCTTATCAACTTAGTTATCTCGTATTTTTAACCACTCACTAATTAGGAAACCGACATTTAGGAATGGAATCTTCGTCGGACACCTACGCCTCACTGTTAACTCTAACGCGAACTAACGAGAAACCCCGTAAAAATGTTCCGTGGGCTGGGTAATAGCTTACAAGGTTTGCACAGTTTGCAAATCTTGTTGTGAATTTCCTCAGCCAAGCCAAAGACAACAAGAAAGTGGTGGCAACCTGTTGGACATGAGGATCATTTAGGAACTAAGTAAGTGCGTGGTACAATATTTACATAATGATTAATTATCTGCGTAAATATATATATTTATGCATGTATTTACATATCATGCTATACATAGAATCGGTATTATAAACATTCGTAGCCTCAATATTCTTCCGCTATCATCAGACTACGAGCGACGACCAGCCGGTGAAGGGTCGGCAACCCCTCCCTTTCATAGTCACGTCGTCTGAGCTTTGCAATGGAAGAAATATAGTAAACCCACAAAAAACGAGACCCTGAATATTTATTTACCTGTACGATTGCAACATCTCGCTGTACATGTCCCCAGATAAAAGTTTCTTGGAAGGGACGACCCCGCTTTCAGACTCGTATACAATGTCCATACTAAAGTGACCCTTACGTGACCCTGCAATAATTAAAAGGTCACATTCATTAACGTTTGACTAGATACTATAAGCATGTATGTAGTCGCATGACAAATATCAAGGGTGGCCGAAAAGATTGATTCAAGTGTAGCGAATTATCATTTTCAATCGTGTGCTAACAATGAAAGTCTCGCAGCGTATGCTCTTTGATTTTGAGGGTGAAACTGGTGTCAACCGATCATACCTTTAATGAATATGATGTTTGCAAAAGGCACGATCTCGCAATGGGTACGTTTGGCAGAGATGCTTTGATCCGAAGAGGAGAAAACGCGTAGCAAAATTGACAAATTGACGGCACGTTTCCTCTTTACGAATGAAAATATCTCTGCAAAACTTGCCCATTGGGTGATCGTGCCTTCTACAAATTTCATACTACATAATTAAAATTGTGATCGATTCACACTAGTTTGGTTAAAATCTGAGAGCTTACGCTGCGAGACCTCCATTCCGAGTCGAAAAAAAGTACCTAAGTAGTAAATTTCAACAACGTTTGTAACATAATACTTTGGCCACCCTGACAATAAACACGCACCTGATAAACAAGAAAGTTTTGAGGGTTCGAGTCTGGCTGATTCCTATTTTTGAGGAAGAACAACCACTGCTTTTCGGAAACCGAGGTGGTCGCCATGCTCGAGAGCACAGTGTTTGAAGCGGCAGTCATACAATCCAGACTTGTTTGGATAAATGAAGACTTCAAAACATTATTGTTGTTGATGAACCTGAACAGAAAATGGAGATTTAATATAGATAAGTCCAGATTGTTACCATGTTTGGTCAAACAGTGGGAATTACTTTATCGTGAACTTTCCCAACTCTGGCGTGTAACCTTCGACGGACTTGAGAATGTCGCCGTAATATTTGGGAACGAGATTCCCACTCATGCCGGATTCCAAAGCGACGAGTAGTAGAGGAGCACGACTTCCACTTTCGTGGTCGACTGGGGATGATTTGTGGTCGCCTAATGTTTAGAAAATTGGTTAATTCATACAAGAATGAACTATATAATTAATCAATTTAATTAGTTAACGCGAGATTTGATGATTCATTGTCAAAATAAATACATTTTAAACCATTTCTCCGCTCTGGGAATTTATTTTAAAATTCTGGACGACGAATTTGTAGACTAGGTCGTTGCCAATTTTTTGAAAATGTACACACTCAAGATTTTGACACTTTTTGAAGATCTCAAGTTGAAGAAGCCTTCATAAAAATTGGAACTCATCGAAACTAGTTTAAAAAACCTCAACGCAACGCAACTCTTTTAATCAACTCACTGACTGCAAATTCATCGTCCAGAATTTTAAAATAAATTCCCAAGGACGAAAAATTATTAAAAATGTACTAATTTTGATAATAAGTCATCCAGTCCAACATTTACAACTCAACATTTAAAACCACTACAAGCTTTTACCAGGGGTTGAACCTCGATGTGTGACGTCCAATCGCCACCTTTCTTCCCGTGATGAGCTTTAACGAAAGACGTTGTCAATTTCATGTGATGATCGATGATTTCCTGAACCACAAAGTTTACGCCGTCATCTCATGCTCAATGCACCCTTACTACGTAGGACCGTCACCTTGCTCGCACAAGTGCCTAAAATTAGAAGGACATTACGTGTTTATAAGACAAAATTGAATTTACATTGTTTTCGGTTAAGTAAAATTACCGTAAGGTAGGTTCTTCTGTCTGACTGGAGAAGCCACATGAACCCAGTGAGCAAGGACTTTGGACTTCGATGCTTCAACCCAAAGTAGACGCCGGGTCGATAAGAACCCCAAAACCGTTCAGGAATATCAAGCCCTGCACGGACGACTACCTGCGAGAAGTAGTGAGTATAAAAATCAAATGAGAATATAGATACAAATCAGTACTTTCTGTAGAGACGTAAATATTTACTTTTAAAATTAGACAGATTACTTAACTTATTAATAATAAGGCACTTTACGTCAACCTTCGTAATTTCGTGAGCACATAAGTTTACGAAGATTCACTTACGAACCAGTAACAAGTTTTTGTAATAAGTCAAAATTACCTACGAGATGTTCTTAAGTTTCGTTAGTTTAAGTAATTACGAAGACTGACGTGAAATGCATCAGTAGTTAGTTAATTATTTAAGTGATTATAATACAAATAATTAACTTTGTTTGGCTATGGCTTGAATACCAGTTTGTAATTAACTAACACTTATCGATACACTTGAATAGAGGACAACAAACAAACGAATACCTTATCTACTTGCAGAGGAGTTGAAAATCTAGTCTCCAAATATCCAAGATAAACATAATACGCTACAAATGCTACAATTGTGCTTATCCCGCAAGTGGAAATTAGTCTGCAAGAAAGAGTAGAAAGACATATTAATTGAAACATACTAATTAATTAAAGCCGGAAAACATTCCATCAAAACCGTTTATTCTCAATTATTAACGTGAACGATCTCTGGCGTCCGGTAGCACCGCCGTGATGATTTCGATACCCGGGTTCCCGCATGTTGACCTTGTTCACGGAAGGTATCCCGGTTTTCCCTTCGCTCCCACTGTGCCCGTTGGACAACGTTAAATCGTCCTCCTCGGCGTCGGAGAGCTTCCGCTTCTGTTGACGTGTTGCCCCCGTTGACATTGTACTTTTGGCTGCCGGGCCTTTTCCTGCCGCTTGCTGGTGACCTTTCCCCCTTGAACTTGTCCGCAATACCGCACCATTCCTGACCTTGACGACAATTGATGCCGAATGTCAGCCAGAACGGCTGACCTGACCAGATCTCACCTCAGCTTTCCCGCATCCAATCCAGCCATCCAACAGTCTGTTTGCATAAATAATTTGTAATTAAACTTAACAATCGAATTAATTAACTATTCCAGTCGGTTTAGACAAATTAATTACAATTTACCACTTATTTATCATGTCAGTTAACGGAATCTAATTGTAACACCTGCGCAAATTAAGAACCGACAAATTATTAGTTATTTTATCAGTTTTTAATTATTATTGAGACAGTAAATTCATTAAAAGTAGATATATTGGGTGATATGAATAAAACCAGGGAAATCCTTTTTCCGAAAAAATTGAGGAGAATGCCCCAATATAGATGAATAAAAATTTGGGCATTTGCTTTTCCCCGAGGGAAAGTAAAAGGGAATAGCTTTTCCCTCAACCTGAAGATTTTCCCTGGAGACGGGGATTTTCGTATGAATAAAACCAAGGTGAAAGCCTTTCCTTCAGGCAATCTCCCCAAAAAATACCGATCAGCTACTATGCTGACCCCAACTAACAAAATTAGCAATAAAACTTAGTTTTTAAGCATCTGTTGTACTTTTTATGAATGTTGGACACTAGTTGGACATGTTAGGGCTTTGAAACTCACAAAACCAGATTTATCGACAAAAATATAGATTTTTATTTGCTATCGACATCGAAAAAATGTATTTTATATTTTCATTGAAAACCTGAAAATATTTTCTGAAATATTTTTAAATTCAGATTTCGGCCAACTGGTCATGCTACCGGTATCGCGCAAGTTGCATATAAATGTTGAAAATTTTCCAAGATTCTAATTAAATTCTGCTTTCGCTCATTTATTCGCCGTTTAAGGGTCCATTGCATATGGGTTTTGAGTTTGAATTTTTGTGTCTCAACTTTCCATTCCTCCATATAAATGGCGATTTTGAAACCCATTCATCGTCGTGCATATTTTACAAAAAGGGAGGTTTCAAAATTCGAAAATTTTTAGCTTTATACAAAGTTAGGAGGTTAGAATTTTAGTATTTTTCCTGGTTAGGAAATTTTTGAAAATCTATAAAAAATTCAAAAATGAGTTTGATCTTGAATATTATAAAATAACTGTGTGGGACAATAATCGTAAAAGAGTTTTTAAATTCCGAGAACAATTTGATCTTTGGCGAGCATTTGAAGGTGGTTTTTTCCAGGTTAGTCTGAGTGAGTTTGGAGGGTGTTCAAAAAATCAAAAATAGATTAAATTAAATACACTTATATACAACAAAACAACGCTGAAATTTCCTTGATTTTTGCAATTCTGAGATGCGCCGATACCGAATTTTAGCCTTTTTAGCGAACATCACAAACCAGTGGGGGTCATTGGGGGACATTTCTTTAAGAATTTGATCAAAATCATGGTCAGAGAAATTTTTGAAATGCATTTGTGTTCGTTGCCATGGTATTATTTTAATTACATGTAATTGAAGTCAGGGGATTTGCCCGAAACCAAGGGGATTTGCCTGGCGAGAAAGGTAAAAGTTTATTCATACGAAAAGGAGCAATACCCTTGACCTGTGAGACTTTCCCTCAGGCAAATGCCTTTCCCTTTTCCCGTTTCCTTGGAGGATTTCCCTGGTTTTATTCATACCAGTGATTATTAATCAGGACGATGATGATGTTGTTATCATTGACAACTTATCAATGAAGCGAGCTTGGCCAATCTGTCGACAAAATACCCCTTCATTATTGTTCCTTATTACTAAATATATCACAATATTGTCCTCACATCGAGCTGAGTACCGTCTGGCAACTTGTAAATTCGTTTATCCGCATCCGGGTCCTTGGATGGATTCACAGATAAGTAACACTCTCGCTCCTTAATCGTTCTCACAATTTCGAACTCTAACGACGTCCGAAAATTGATTCCTTCCTTGCGCAGAAGAAACCTGTACAGCAAAATATATCAACAAAACAAGTTATCTGATATAGCAATTCTGTAGGAATATTGAAGGTCTGCATTACATAAGTATACTTTTTCAATTAACATATCTTCAAATTCTGGTTTAAATGATCAAAATCAATATAACTATATCAAAACCTTGTTAATCATTCTTACTATTCAAACTCTCACAATATTCTAAGACTTGTTCGTTCCTTACGTAGAATAGTAGCAATATTAATGAATAGAATATATCAAAACCTTATCAATACGAGATAAACCAACCTCAGATATCTCGTCACATCTCGCCCAGCTAAATCCACCCTCATGATGCTGTGTGGCAGGGCGAAACCTTCGTAAATAGGCACTGCATGGGTCACACCATCCCCCGCGTCCAGCACCACGCCCGTCGTCCTCCCAGTTGCATATCTATAAAGAACAGTCATATTAATTACGGGACGAATTACTCAAATTATTATCACTCAAAATGAAGGTAGCCCACCGTATTCTTTCCGATTTTGAGCAAAATAGTCTCGCTCGATCCCAAATTTAATTTCTATGACATTTTCAAACTGCACCTTCTCCCAATGGGCACGTCTGGGAGAGATATTTGCATCAAAAGAGGAGGATACGAGCAGTAAAGTCGGACAGTATAAAACTTATCAACTTTAGAGCGCATTTCCTCCTCTTTGGATACAAATATCTCTGCCATTTCGAGATCGCGTCTTTTCCAAATTTCATATTAACTAAAATCGTGACCGCCTGACACTAGTTTGCCCAAAATCGGTGACCATATTAAATCTCTCACCTCGGAAGCGAAGTTTACAAAAAGCGAGTAACATGATAATAATACATATATAATTTACAAGCTAATTAATTGCACGTGCGACCAATAAATTTCTTTGAAATTATTAAAGCTCTACTTTATAAAGCACCGTAAGTACTAATTCAGAAATTACACGTGTTAGTTATACACTAATAAGCATACATATTGTACCCTCGGCCTTATAAATAATTTACACATACATTTAAATACACTCGTACACACGCACACCCACACCAGAAGACATTTCACTATAAATTTTCACCATAAATTTTCAATAGAGAGAAGACGACGTGCGCCAAGTTCGAAGAAAAAATTCTTTAAAGAACTAGTTAAACTTTCTCATCTATAATACGCTGGCTTCGTTTTATCGGTGCTGGCCTGTCACCCCTTGCCCGTCGTCCCCTCACTCGAGGCATCTCGTCATCGTGACCTGGAACGTCGCCATCAATATCTGGCCCCACACGTTCCCCCGTCATCGAAGTTGGCCGCGCCAAGTGACTCCGCGCTCGTCGTTGTAGCCAGTCCACGGCCAAATTCCATTTCCGACTCAACTCTGGTGACGCTTGCAGCACTTTTTGACCTAGGTCGTCCTTCTCCAACAGATCACTCAGGCTCTCAATGCAGATAGCCGACTTTTCGGGGTGATCCGTCTGGTTCCTATCCAACGTATCCATCAGACCGTGCTCCGGAAGCCCTACACATTCGAATTATTATTTGACCGGGAACTTTGAGTAGAACAAAATTCAATAAAGTTGTCTCTGCTGACCTTCGAGGGCGTTGGTGATCCGTTGGAACTGCCACGAGTCTCCAATTCTCAGTAAACTGATCAAAATCTCGAGGAAGGTTTTCAACTCAGTCTCGTAGGAGAAGCTTATTCGACCAAGAATTTTAGACACGACGTCCTGTGAAAACGTGGGGTTTTCCCACGAGAGAAACTGCAGGAGTTGAACCGTGTCCTCCGCTGCGTAAGCGTCGTCCAATATCTTCTGGAGATATGGGGAACATCTTTGAAATGGACTGAAAATAATTTCACA